GCCCTTTCATTTCACTGAGTCTGCTCTGAATGATATTAACATGGAACACAGCACATTGATCTTTAGATCCCATTCCCTACTTGAATTATCCTACTCGACAAAGTTCCTTTCATGGACAATCTGGAGAAGACAGATTGAGTTATTGAATCACTGTCTCTTTAAAGAGTAAAAACCAGTTTCATAGCAGTATACACATTAAATGAATTAAACTGACAACTGCCAGTTCAACCTCTTTTTGCTTTCAAAAAATCATACAGATCCTTTGTTTAAAAAAGGTTGAATGTTACTTCTGAAACCAATAGCTACTACAGCTTCCTTGATTATATCAACACAAAGCTCCAGAGTTAAGAGTGGAGAAGGGAGGTATTTAAATAACATCATTAAGGATATCATTAAAAGCCAGCTATTACTGAACAGGTGCAAAATTGTTAAATTGCTGCTAATGACAGCAACAGTGAGCGTTGCCACCTCTCTAACTAACATGCTTGCACTGTGTGTGTCATTTGGCGAGCTGCGGCTTATATGCGTACATGAAAGAGAATCTGCATTGATGATAACAGAAGGACTGTTGTACTAGCAAGCAAACGTTATAAATTGAAGAGTAACAGGCATTTATCTCCAGAAGCCCTTCCTAGGAAAAAAGTAGAGGAGAAACACTCACACTCCAAGATCTAACATATCATTAAGTCACAGCATTGCTCCACTTACGTTAGCTTCAAGCTAATAACTAACCTGACTATCTTTTAATCCTTTTAAGATCTTATCCAATTAAAAGCAGATGGTAAATATGTTCTTAGAAGACTACAAAGAAGATTAGCTGAGTTGTGCGATCCACTGCCTTAAAAAAATGCCCTTTTTTTGCTTCCCAATAATATTTCCTGCACCACCAATGAAAGCCAACGAATGAATAGATAAAGAACCCATCCACATGATGCTGACACAAGATACACATACACTATGCAAAAAGCGGAAATAACATTACCCCCTTCTTTCCTCCGCCTCTCCCTCCACAAAATCACAATGGCCACGATAACAGTGTCTCACACCAAATGTAACCAACCTGTAGAAAAGACTATGAATTGAAAACAGATATGCTATAAGTAGCTTTGTTATTCCTGAAAATTTTTCAGTAAAAACCATTTACCGAAATTTCCTACTATCTTACCCACCTTCACCCAGAAAGCTTGGGCAACTGCTGGGGCTCATGAACTCTGCCAGGGACCACCATTGATGCGGGCCCTGGGAGCCACCAACCTATATAACTCACTATGGGGTGCTGTGGGGAAATTGAAAATGGTGTCCTGGAGTTCTCTAATGCAGGAGACAATTCACCTTGCCAAAGCCAGTGAAGATGTTCTTGACCATAAACCACAATAAAACAGTGACCAAACAACAAAAAAACACAGTATATCCAAAATAAAAGAGACAAAGGCTAGGCAAACAGAAACAGTTCAATGGGATTTACTCCCAGTTAAGTGCACATAATTCATCCTTTAAAGTAGTGTGAGAAGAATGAAATAATCTCTAACTAGCACCTAAAAACAAGTAACCTTGGGAAAGTACCCACAGCCACCACTGAAAGGGCTTTGTCTCCAGTCACTGCCTACTATCAGAGCAATCCCAACCTCCGTCATGCCATGCTTGGGCAGGGCAGATGGTTTGAAATGACCAGAGGTGTCCATTTGCCCAGAGGCAGCAAATTTCAAAGGCCAGATTTTGTATGCTTAAATTTTAAACTAGCAGTGTGTTTGTGTGCGTGTGTGTGCGTGCAGTGCTTTTTTCTGGGGGGTACGCATTTTGTGAATCTTTGTACTTTTGTTCATTTACTGTATTTATTTCCCCCGATTTGAACTATAAAATGTTGATTTTCTTGAATCAAGATGACAGTACCCCTAAATATTTTTTTAAGGAAAAACACACACACTCTCTCTCTCTGTGTAATGTATCACATTTGTTAATGTTAGTTTAAAACTTCCCACAATCCAGGAGCTTCAGATTTCAATGCTCTACAACTCCCATAATCTCTGACCATTGGCCATGCTGACGGGAGGGGCACAGCTCAGTCATTCCTGGTTTCATGGAATAACTAAGCATGTATTTGGCTTGCATTAGTTCTTTTGCTGTGTGACAGAAGACCCCCCCCCTTCCCTTTCACACAGTGGTGAATATAAGGGATTTGGAGTAGTAACAAATTCATGTGATCACATGAAAATTAAAGACTCATCACTTGATAAACACGTTTCTCAATGACAGGAACATGATAGGAAAAATTGCTTTCAGGGTAACTCCATTCCAATAAAATCCATTCCAGTCAGCCATGTAGTCTACCACACGAATATAGTAATTGTCCTCTCCTTTTCCGTTATAAATAGAGATTAGACTGACTATGACAGTATTTCACCTTCTAGAAACAGCGTCATTTTGTGTAATATTTCCCTCCCACATACCTTTGTCACTATCAGATTTCTAGAAGCTATGAATACACAGGCAACCTAAAACTCATTTATCTTTCCATAATTTTTATTTCATGTGTTTGTGTGTATGCCTGTTGACTAAACTTGGCCCAAGGGGATGGATTAATACAGTTAGATGATTTACTGTTCTGTCCTTGATCCTATCATGTCTGGATAGCTCAGTTGGTTAGAATATAGTCCTGACTGCAGGTTTGATCCCCGTACAGGACAGCTGCATATTCCTGCATTGCAAGGGGTTGGAATAGATGATCCTCAGGGTCCCTTCTAACTCTACAATTCTATGATTCAATGTGTTTTGGGAGGGCCATTTCGTCCACCTTGGGCTCTTTTCTTTTGTCCACGCAAAAGTCTGTTTAGGAATGCATAGTTGAGTATTAGTATTCACGGAAAATGGAAATTATTTCAGTATTTATGGATAAGGAATGGGTGTAGGGGCAACATGCTGTATCCCAACCAATGCACATTAATTTGAATGTCTGGAATGGATCCCTGTAGCTCCCCATATATTTATTATTCACAGATACTGAAGAACTAAAACATCGGACATTTAAAAACAAATGGGTCAATATGGTTTTGGGGGTCATGGACAGAAATGCTTGCAATCCTCTGGGCACTTTCCTGGGAGTAGGCCTCATTGAACAAGGTATGACTTTTGTCTGAGTAAGAAAGCACAGGCTTGCTCTGGCAGGGAAACAACAGTGGAGCAAGTATGAATGGAACCCCCCACGGAGGACTTTCTCTCATCATTTTTCACTTTCCATTTTTATTTAGGTGAAATCCAGTGAGAACCTGGTGGGACCCCTCTAAGAACGTGAGCTACTTTCATCCATTGCATTTGATCTTCCTGTGAAATCCCCTCAGGTATTCTACATGAAGGCAAACTCTCAAAAATTAATGCTTTAAGTGAGGGGAAAGAGAGAGGGATCAACACCAACAGTTGGAGACCATCCTGACTTCCTAACCTGAGTCCTCCTATCCAGGGTTCTATTCGAAAGAAGCAAAGAAAGAGGAGATGCATCAAAATGATGCTAACAATCGAACTTCATCAAATAAGAGAGTCGTTATAGAAGACTGAAAAAGCCCCACATTTCTTTTGAGAGATGTTGGCTCGGTAGGATATCTGAAGCAATCTTCAACTGAAATAAATCAAGCCTTTCAGTATTTTGTGCAAACTACAGTCATACCTTGGATCCCGAACACTTCGGCACTCAGACGTTTTGGTTCCGAAACGCCGCAAACCCAGAAGTGAGTGTTCCGTTTTGTGAACTTTTTTTGGAACCCAAACATCCAACGGGGCTACCCTGGCTTCCGATTGGCTGCAGGAGCTTCCTGCAGCCAATCAGAAGCTGCGTGTTAGTTTCTGAATGTTTTGGACTTCCGGAACTGATTCTGTTAGACTTCCAAGGTATGACTGTATATAGAGTCAGAGTTGGAAGAGACCACAAGGGCCACCCGCTGCAATGCAGAAATATTTTACCCAGTGTGGGGCTTGAACCCATGACTCAGAGATGAAAAGTCTCATGCTCTACCAACTGAGCTATCCCAGGCTTCATTTGTTAAAGTTTTTCAAAGAACAGTTCTGAGGCTGTGCAACCCTTCCCCCCCACACTTTCTTCGTCTCATGACTTTTGTTGCTACCTAGCCATTTAGCCTCAGGGATCCAGCCAGCTAGCCAGAGCCCACACCAGAATACTCTATTCCATTCCCAACCCATCTTTTCTGCTTTTCATTTCCAAGTGACTCTCCCCCCCCATGGCCACTGAGCATACTAATACCTCATTGATTTGTTTGGGTGTCTGTGGGTTAAACCACAGAGCCTAGGACTTGCCGATCAGAAGGTTGGCGGTTTGAATCCCCATGACAGGGTGAGCTCCCGTTGCTCGGTCCCTGCTCCTGCCAACCTAGCAGTTCGAAAGCACGTCAAAGTGCAAGTAGATAAATAGGTACTGCTCCAGCGGGAAGGTAAATGGCGTTTCCGTGCGCTGTTCTGGTTCGCCAGAAGCAGCTTAGTCATGCTGGCCACATGGCCCGGAAGCTGTATGCCGGCTCCCTCGGCCAGTAAAGAGAGATGAGCACCGCAACTCCAGAGTCGGTCATGACTGGACCTAATGGTCAGGGGTCCCTTTACCCTTTACCTTTATATGTGTGTGAACATTAATCTCTTAATTATATTTAAAAATATTTCTCATACTCTGCAAACCCTAGAGTTTCCCAGAGCATGCACATTCCACCTTGGCTTTTTTCTTTCACAGGTCCCACCTGGGTCCCAATCCTGCCAGCGCTCACTACCTGAGCTCACTAGCAAAGGGAGATACTTTGGTGACAAATTTAGTTCCCCACAAGTCATTCAAAAATGCAGGAATTCCAGGAACAAAGTCTAAAATAATCATGTGACCTTCCTGTGTCTATATCTACAAATCATGCTGGAATGACAAGGTTGTCAGAAGAAGAGATTGCTAAAGATAACCCAATAAAATAAAATAAATAATGATTTGTAAGAAACGCCATGAATATTAGCTTGCTTACCATAACATCCATTTCTGTCTGGTTTCTCTATGCCGGGCCCACTGAATCCTGGGCTACAAAAACAGCCTTGGCGTCCATTACGAACTTCACATTTTGCACGCTCATCACATGGGATGGTACAGTTCTGGGAGGAGTAGCTACTGTCCAGCAGTGTGGACATGAACACTAAATGGAATTTAAAAGAAATGTGAGTTTGGCCTTTGTAGTTGTTGAGTTCTGAAAGCAGTTTTAGGCAAACACATTTGGGACAAAATAAAATTGGCATTAAGCTGAAAAATCTTATTGCTAAAGAGTCCTGTTGAACAAGGCTCGAAAACAAAATTATAACTGCTGAATGAATGATTTAAGCTCAAATATCTAGGCTTTCAGGTATGTGGATTTGTCTTGAAAAGCATCAGCCTTCAAGTGCGTTCAGTAAACACAAAAATACTGCACATCAAACAAAGCTCCACAGTATTTTTGAATAAACTATAAGTGTTTAATTCTACCATGTTTCCCAGCACAGGGCAAAAGTGGCAAATAGTTCTTAGTCCAAAGAACACAACAGAGGAGACAAAAAACATTGTGCATCTGCAGGACACCTCCCCTCCCTGCAACAAGCATTTTAACATTACTTTTTAATAGCACTAGTCCAACAATGTAACTTCATGGAAGATTACATTTACACACAATAGCAGTATCATTTCGGAACACTTTCCCCATTTTTCAAGGCTACAGTATGACTATCTGAGCTATTTGCTTCATCTTGAGTGTGATAATGGAGCCCAGGCCGATTTTCAAATTCTCCTTACGTCTGGTGATTGCAACGAGTTTCAGCATTATGAAAGTTTGCTTTTGAAAACATTAAGTATAAATTCATTTCCCCGTAATGGCAACCTTTATTACTATTTCACATAAGCCACTCTGAGCTTCCCTTTCTCTCCCTGAAGAGTGGCAAATCTATTTTCTGAATAAATAAATAAATGCATTAACACAAAGGAAAAGGAAACAGAATGCAAACAACACAGACCAAGCCATTTACTCAGACGAAATCCCTGTAACTTCAGGGGAGCTTACTATCTTTTAAGGGTGCTTAGGATTGCAGCCTAAACTTCATAAAGTAAGCAGTTGTTGGACAATATTCTCCTAACCCTAATATTACTTTCTAATATTTGAATCGTCATCTTAGTGCTTTATGTCCAAGATTAATTACTGGAGGAAAAACAAGAAGTAGCTTTCTATGAATAATAATGTCCAAAAACATTTTAAAGGTCATGATTATACAACTTTGTAAATATATAATTCTGTTCCCTTCCTCTATTACATTATGCATTATTTATGTGCTTCTTCCCTACAGAAAACCTCTTATTATTATTTCTGAATCTGGCCATCTGTGAGATGTGGCCTTGGTTTAACAAACTGGGTAATATTCACATTCACCACTGCCGCCGCCAATGCAATAGCATTTCTGTCTTCTCAAGGTCAGAATTCATTTGAGCTCACGGGATTATTGTCATCAACTTCTATGCATGCCAGTCTTCTGCAGTCATTAGAGTTTCTTTGCCAAGGTGGTTTTGACAAATCTAGCAACTTCCAAAGCTGGACCTGAGAAACTACTTGAGATACAGACCATTGGTCCATCCCAGTCCTACTAGAAGGTGCTGGGGACGCTCTATTACTGTGCTTTGGCTGCCCCACATCTCCCAAACTTTCTCTTCCCTATTTCCACACCCTGCCCACCAGTTTTGTCTCTTACATCCAGCTTAACCATTCATGAAATAAAATTACCTACCTAGGACCAGTAGAAGTTTCATGGGTGGTGCTTCTAAGAAGTGCTCAGTCTTGAATCCCTTTGTAACAAAATATCTGGTCCTGCTGGAAAATGTATGATCGTGGGCTAAAGGGTTGCACATGCCCATTAGAAGAGCTCTTTATTCTGCCATTTGCCTGTCCGTATGCTTCTTCAAATATTTAGAGGGAAGGATGAAGTGAGCTAAAATGCTGAACAGCAAATCAGCTGGAGAGCAAAGTAAAGGAACTGTATAGAAAGTTTGATCAAACAGATGAATGAATATGAGTGAGGATAGGCGCAGGAGACAGGCATGAGTACAGAGTTTGAGGAGATGGAGTGTTAGGGACCAACAGGAAGATTTAAGAAAGATACAGGGATAGAACCAAAGACTGAGGATAGCACAGTGGATGGAGATCACAATGTACTTGGAAAGCTGTGGGGAGTAGAGCAGGAATGAAAAATGAGCAGTAAGAAATGGTGAGGCAGTTACCAGGATCCCACCAGCCTTGCCTGAAGTAGGTTGAGCAAATCAGAATTCTAGCACCCCAAAAGAGTTGGTGAAATCTGTAGTTTGCTTCCGTGTCGACTGCTTTCCTTGGCTATCCAGAGATGTCCCAATCGCAGTCTGAAATTCGGTCACTTTAAGAGCAGCAGCATGAGAAGGAGGCACAGGAAATCCACTGAGATTTCTTTTGTGTGGAAAACAAAGATATAAAGCCATGGGAGGAAGGAGGCAGGAAGCCAAATGTGCAGCAAGGAATTTCAGGACCAGCAGGGAGGCTCAAAGCAGGGAGGTACGTGTTAAGGCCCTAAAGGGGTGATGTAATCATAATTAGAGGATAAGTGGCAAAGAATATTGGGGGTGGGGAGAAGATGAATTTTGCTACACCTAACAGAGAATTGGGGGTGGGGGATATGGCAACATAATGCAGGCAAGAACACGTCCAGTCTCTTTCACTTGGATATATTTTGCTTCCTGCTATACACCTCTTTCAAATTTTGTATTCTATTTTTACTATCATTGAAAATATATTTCTATCCCACTTGTTTATGGTGGGGAAAGGACCTTGTTGTTGTTGCTGCTGCTATCTTATAGTATTATCTCTGGACCTTTGATTTTACTGGAACTCAGCTGCAAAAACTCAGCTGTTCAAGGTAAGATGATGTGCAGAAAAGAAATGCTTAGAACTTTTAGGATTACTTGAGTGTCTCAATCTATTGAAACACACACACACACACACACACACACACACACACACTATTTTTTCCTACATGCAGAATTTTTCTGTACTGTGTTGGATTTTTTAAAAAAACCCAAAGTGAAAATAGTGTATGAAGTCAATAAATGATATTATCAGGGAGTGCACAGTTCCCAAGAATAGAACCACACAACTTTTTCTTTTGAGGATAGGCAGCAACTGGGTGTGGTGCTAGGTGTGGACCAGCTTCACAGTCATGGGTGACTTTGCATTGTGCAAACCACACTAGTTATAACTCCAGAAGAACTGCTGGAAGCTCCCATCCTGATGGCAGGCCAGGCTTTAGACTTTGGAGGCCTTCAGCACTGTTTATCGGACCTCATCTTCCATTGCACCTGAAGGCAGGAGGCTAGCTTATGGGGCATCTATGGATTACATGGTACATACAGCTCTGTCTTCTAACAGCTTGCCAGTGCTATCTGCGCCTCAAGCAGCAGAATGTGAGGTGTGGTAGGCAGACCCTGAAATACCACACCTGTGCTCTCTTCACCTAACAGCTTGTCTTGGTAAGCTTGGCTCCATCGGCTGGGTCACTTTCTCCTGGAACATCCACAGCTTATGCTCCTAAACCTGACTTATCCCTAGTTAGTTTTCAACTGCTGAGGTGAAAGAGTACTTCCTTCTGGATCTCTGAGAGCCATATCCATCTGGTCACCACAGAATTCAGGCCTCTCAGATCCATCTACATGACCTTCTCTCCTATGTTTATGGAAGACAGGAGCCCATTTGGGAGGGCACTACTGTTTTTCTGGAAAAAGATGTTCTGAAAGGCTATGCGAGACAAAACACATCTCACAACTGCAGCCATTCTGTCACTACACATGGAAGTTTGCCAACTCTGTAACAGCAGGCAAGAGCCACAGTGACAGGAAATCTCTCTTTGCAAGAGAAAATTAAAAAGTAATATGAAAACAGTGTTTCCTCTTTCCACACCTACTTGGTAGGCTGGAGGCCGCAAGCACATTTCCCTCCATTTTTAAATTCCGCTTTCTTTCTATGAAGGCGAAACTCTCATTGCCTGCATCAGACTACAGTGTAGTCTGCAGGCATAGAATGGAGAGAAGCCATTTCTACTTCCATTTGCTGAGGTTGCAACACCTGCCATATTACCCAAGGTTGAATTATTTAGCCAGATGATGGGACAGCTTCTGCTGGTGGCACACTGCTGTCCCCCTGCACCACAACACACAACTGAGCAGGTGTTGGGCATGCTGTCATGCACTTAATTCTCTTCCACTACCCCCCTCAAGGCACTAATGTGTCCTCACATCATGCAACAGGGAACTGTTCTAATTTTCCCAAGAACCAGAAAGGTTGTTGTTGGGAGTTATTATGGCAATAGTGTAAAGTATTGTGTAAAATATCTTCCCAACCATAATATCCCAACTGTACGTAGGTGTGGTTATGGAGGATGCTGAAAACAGCAACTTCACATCTCACCTTCCCTTTCCCCTCTCATAACATAAACCTTGAGACGTTATAAATTTCTCACCATGGTGGGGACCTCTAAAGTTGGGAGCCTTTCTGCTTGTGTAAGCTCCCTCCACATTTTAGAACCACAATCTTCCATGATCCTAAATTGAAAAGGGAACCTACACAGGTAAGCAGCCTCCCAACTACAGAACATAACCCCCCCCCAAACACACCTCAGAATGGGTGATGAAGACAGCCTGGGAGGCTGAAGTTAGCATACTCATCCCAACTCTTCCTCATCAAGTGAGGGAATCTAGGATGGGACTATAGTGACTCATGTGACATGACATCATTCTGCACCAAGTTTTCCCATCTCAGCTTTGCTTGATTGTCTGGAACTTGCAGAAGCAAATAAATGTGAAGTGAAATGACTCAACATTACTAGGAAGTTTAGAGAACATAAAGTTGTTCTTTGTAAGAAGTTCTATTTCTGGGATGAAAGCTGTTGTAGCCCTGTGCAGTCAGCCACAGCAGAGCTCAATGGAGGGAGAAGCCAGCCAACAGTCGAGTCTCAGGGGGTATTCACCTGGAGGCAGAGTCTGTATACAACAGGCATAGGCAAACTCAGACCTCCAGATGTTTTGGGACTACAACTCCCATCATCCCTAGCTAACAGGACCCATGGTCAGGGAAGATGGGAATTGTAGTTTCAAAACATTTGGAGGGCCGAGTTTTCCTACACCTGGGATACAAGGTTCAGTCCAGTCCTAAGGTCAGGAATATCTCAGCTCATGTAGCCAGACGATCCGGGGGTCAAAAAAAGCTGAAGAGCCAAGATCACAAGAAGCAGCAAGGTCTGGCCTGGAATGACAAATGTTGTTTCCAGCAACTGACTGAGGTTGGAAACCCTGCTTAAGAAAGCTGGAGCCAGCTGGTTCTCATCAAGAGCAAGAAGACTGATTAGCAGCAAGTGGAGGCACTTCACTTTCTGCTCCTTCAGGCTGCTGCTCAGCAGGTGAAGCCGACTGCTGGCCCATGACAAAAGCACTTTCTGATAGGTGCTTCCTGTCTGGGTGGGTGTTGCCCTAATATCCAATCTACATGCAGCTCCACTATCACTAGCCTGATGTGCCATTTCAATAGACTATATCAATTTTGACCCTACTTGTTCCGAGCCTTCTAAGAATTGGGTTTAAGAACTGGCTTGTGTCTCTCCACAAAAAGATTTCCCCAAGGAATCATGTTGTATTCTTGTGCTCCATGACAGACATATTTCTAATCTCTTTTGCAATGGGAAACTTACCATATTGGTTAGATATACACATGCACAAGAACTGTTCCCTGTGTATTTTCAGTAGTATTTCAACAGTATTTTTTGAGGACAGACAAAGAGGAGGAAAGCACATAAGAAGCTCATAGGTGAAAAGGAGAAAAAAAAGAGAGAAGATCTTGATGAGGAGCTTAGATGAGCTGAGAAGGTAGGAATGAAAGGTGAAAAGCAGAGAGGAGCAGGAAAGGGGTCAGCTCATAAAACCATTAAGGATAATATGAGAAGCTTACATCAGATGTTAGCAGGCAACGGGGAGCCAGCAGAGATGACAATTTTGGGAATGTCAGAGCACTATCTTAATGGAGGATTATTTTCACAACAGATTAGTGGTAAAACTGAATGTTGAGGGTATCAGCTGGAGCCTGAAGAAAATGAGGTCGCAGTAATCAAGGATGAAGAGGATGATGGACTTGACAAGTTTTATATTTTTTGTGGTGAGAATGAAGAGGAAATGGAAGATTTTAGAGACATTTGGGAGATAAAACCACCTGGATTTAGTGATAATATCTACCAGTATATAGGGATAAAGAGTGGAGTGACACATGAGAAGGAACAGTAGACCATGTGAGAAAATGCCTTCGAAATCTGCAATGTTGCCAAGACTTTCTTATTGCTGTGAAATCTCAGTAGCTGCTGGGGGGGGGGGGATCCCTGATGCAGTCAGAATCTGCAAAACTTTAGAGATGGGTATATAGAGAAAGAAAGAGAGTTATTTCCAAGAGTTGTGTAATTTTTTGCAAAAATGGTCTCAAGGTTAATTATATATTAGGAAATGCAAGGGACAACTGTATTGCCAGAGACAGTAGAAATTCTGTGAAAAACAAAAGTAACATCTATTCACATTAGTCTCTTGCCCACTTCATTGCTATCTTTAGTTTGAGACTCTGTATAGATTCTTCAGAAAGTAAGGCCAGCTCAGAGAAAATGTTTGATGGTGATTGTCCAATAAGCCCAGGCTTCACTAAACTAAATTTCACAATCTCAAGGGAGAGCTTATATCCCATTTATCAAACAACGAGAGATACTCACTTAGCTCACAACACATGCAGAATCTGGCCTTTGCAAATTCCGATATGAAATTACCTGATTTACACATCTCAGAATAATGTGTCAATTGGCACTTAGCTAATTGAGCTAATGTTGAAAAACAGTTGTCAGCAGTCTAAATGTATCAAAAGATGAATTTAAAACTTTATTTTGAGAGAAAACACACATTTGAATATAGATTTGGAAAGAATTCACACTTCACAATTCATTTGGGTTTCAAAGTACTTTGAGGGTTTTTAATGCAGATTAATCTGGAAGTAGCAAATAATGGAATCATGAATAAAAATATAGACCAGAAAAAGAGCTGTCCATCCCTCTATGTAGCATAGCAATCTGTTTTGGGTTGTCATCAGTTACTGTTGTTGTTAATGTTATTGCTTGTAGTGCATTCAATTATGCTTTCTATTGATTTATATGTTTATTTCAGGGGTTGCCAACCTTTTTGGACCTGGGGGTACATTGTGAGAAAGGGAGTCAGTCACAAAAAGGCATGATAGGGCTGCCATATTTCAAGAAGTAAATCGTGTCCTCCCTCAAAGAGGGCATGTATTGCGGTAAGACCTGGAGACTGACCTCCTGTGTTGTGGGTGGGTAAGATTGGTCAGCCACAACACCCGATTGGTAGGTCCCTCGA